GGAAGCCCAGGGACCTGATTAATCTTTCTAAAATACAAGTCCAATCATGTCTCCCCTACTTGGAAAAAAAAGTTTTTGGCAACTTCCCATTACCCAGGGTTCCCTGAAGCCCAAATATCTGCAGGTCCTTCAGCCCTTGGCCTCAGACCCCCTTTCTGACTCCACACGGTCTCGTCTCCGTGGATTCTTCTTCTGCAGCCACACGGAGCTCCCACCATCTCCTAATGCACTGAGGTCTTGCACACGCAACTACTTTTCCCGATCTCATCCATTTGGATCTGAAACTGAAGGTCTTTCCTTGTAGTTTTGATCTCAAACTGCAAGCTTCTTTTCCTGCTCTGGGAAGAGGTCCTACCCAAGGCAGAAGAGGGTGAGGCCAATTAAGAGAAGGAGAGAGAGCAGAATAAATGCACAGAATGAAGAGACTGAGCACATCACTTGAATTCCTGGATCCCGCCTTGCCTGAAGCCAGCGTCACCTCAGGATCCACTCTTGTAAACCAACAAGGAAGCCCAACGCATTGCAGAGGGAAATAACCCTGTCTGGGGACACAGGAGACCAGAAGCGTGTCGATCAACTGGACGGATCTCATAGGGAGCCTTGAAACTGCGCTGGGCCCACGCAGATGACAGAGGATAATCTTTCCAGCTCTAGATCCTTAATGCCACCGTATCTGCACAGTTCCTTTCTTCATGCCAGGTCACACAGTCTCAGGCTCAGGAGGTTAGGACCTGGATGTCTTTGGGATGGGTGAAGGGCATTATGTTACCTACCACGTGGAGAACGTGCCCTCTGAAGCCAGAGGAGGGGGGCGTTCACTGAGCGCGTAAGTGAAGGAGGGCAGGGGAGCGTCCCCGAAGAGGGCACAGTGTGAATGAGGCTCCTGAGGCTGGGGGGAGAGTGGGGAGTCGAGGACTTTGAAAAAGGCGAGTGCAGCCGGCGTGCAGGGGCCAGGAGCAGAACGTGAGCGAGGAGGCTGGGGAGGAAGGAGGCCAGGCTTCCATTGGCTTGGAGAGGACGTGGACTTTGGCCTTTCCTTAAAGCAACGTGGGGATGCAGCCAGAAGGATCTCCTGAGATTCCACGGGGAAATCTGGGTTGGAGCGGCCGTAATGGACACAGGGAGCCCTATGGAGGCCTGAGGGAATGGAAGCCACTTCCGCCATCACCCCAGCCCCTGGCCCTTCCAGGTAGCCCGTAGGAACCATACACCCCTTGCTCAGAAGCTTTCACGTTAACTTTAATGTGGAAGATTGCAAACACATACAAAAACAGAACCTACTGCAGGCCCACATATGCAGCTGCTAGCCATAATAACTAGTCAACTCACGGCACCTCTTACAGCCTCTGTATTGCCCTACCCCAGGTTTATCTGAAGCAAATCCCAGGTATCCTATCATTTCATCTCAGTTTATTTCAACTTGTATCGTTAGCTGTGTTACAAATTCTTTAAAAAACAAAACCCATAATCGTCTGGGAGCTAATAAATCCCTGTGCTGGCTCACTGCATATCTGTGGAAGGAATGAATAATTTGCCATTTTGATAGTCTTATAGGAAGAATATATTGTTTCTCATCTTTGCCCTGAATTCCAAAGCACTCTATGTGTCAAAATCTCCATCCCCTCGGAGCACAGGATGTCCCTACTTGTGAACACCAAGCTGAGTCTGGTCCCACCCCACACCCTCTCTTGCCAAACGCTAAGCATCGCTGCGACAAGTTGCAGGACGCCGGGGGGAAATGCGTCCTGTTTTTCAGAGGGGCCAATAAAGGCCTTGCCCCAGCCCAGCTCCCAGGATGGCCGAAGCCTCGGGCTGGGGTTCATCCGGCCGGCTTCACAGTGACAGATGAAGTTCGGGCAGCCCCACAACCCACGTGCTCACTCTGCTCGTCTCAGGACACCTGCTGCTGGCCTCCTCCCCACACAAGTGAGCGTGGGAGCAGGAGCGGCCTCTAATTACACCTTTCCTGCCATCTCTGGTTCTGTGACTGTTTCAAGGAGGAGTGGAATGTTGTCGACATCCTCACTCCTCAAAGATCCCCTCTCTGCCCTTCTCTCCACAAGAGCTTTTGCTGCCTGGTGGTGCTCTGTTCTGGTTATCAACTGCTACCGATTCATACCAAACCCCCAAACACAGGGACTCAAAGTAACAATCACTTTACTGCGTTCATGATCTGTAGAAGTACTTGGGCGGGCGGGCAATCCTGCTCCAGCTGGTATCGCGCTGGGGTGTGCTTTGGCCTGGAGGATCCAAGAAGTGTTTGCTTGCGTGTCTGGGGCCTGGGTGAGCACAGGTGGATTTGTCTTTCTGTAACTGCGGTCTCAGGGCCTCTTGCTTGTCCCCTCCAGCAGAGGAGGCAGACATCTGACATCACAGCTCGGGACTCCAAAAGCACGTGTTCCCAGAGACAGAGAGTGGAAGACACCTGCCTGGAAACTGGCTGAGTATCGCTTACTCTGCTGCTAATGGTCAAGGCAGTTAAAGGAGGCCGTGAAACTGGATAATTAGGTAATTAGGGTTCTTTCTGCTGCAAATGACAAAAATGCTATTCAAATTATCTGATACCAAAAAGGGAATTTGTTGCATTATGTGACTGCAAAGTTCGAGGTTGGGTTTAAGAGCAATTGGATCCAGTCACTCAGATGATCATCAATGTTAAGCCTCTATCTCTTGCTCTCTTTTTCCTGTGTTGGTTTTATTTATACCAGCCCCACAAAAATGCAGGGGAGGGTTAGTTCTCTAAAGGAAAATCTGGGTACCACCAACAGAGGAACGCAAGGCATCCTGAAAATGCAAAAGTATTAAACACCGGCCATAACCCACCCCTTGGCTGCATCTCTCAAACACCAACTCGCCTATAAACCCAGCTTCAGAGGCGCCCGGCCCTACAGGGGGCAAAAACTCGTGTGCAGCAATGGAGCCAGTCACCGCATTCTCCAGAGAGGCAGCGTCTTTTCTAGCTGCTGTATCTACGGCAGTCCTAGGCTTTCTTGGTGATGTCGTTCCTCTCCGCTAGATCTCATGTGGCTCCTCGGGGTCTGCAGCCCTTGAGCAAATGACATAGTCAACCACCCACCAACACACCCGACAGACACCAGTGGGTAAGAGATCGGCGGTGTGCTCAGTCGTGTGGGACTGCAGCCTGCCAGGCTCCTCCGTCCGTGGGGTTCTCCAGGCAAGAGCACTGGAGTGGGGTGCCATTTCCTCCTCCAGGGGATCTTCCCAACCCAGGGATCCAACCCGCATCTCCCGCCTTGACAGATGGATTCTTTACCACTGAACCACGGGAGTAGCCCCAAAACTGCTACAAAAACATTCATTTGAAAAAGGGAAACAAAAACCAATGGTCATTAACCCTGGGCATTTACCATATCCTGTTGGAGGGGGATAGAAAACTTAGCTTCCTGCTCTGCCAATGGGATGAACTCCTTGACTAGAGGCTGCCTTGGGTTTTGATCTCCTTGATGCCCTCCAGAAACATAGGAGAGACGGACCTTCGGGTGAATTGCTCTGCTGGGAATGTGGTTCTTTTGTAGCTGGTTTCCTGTTGGTGTAAGTCTATCGATAAAAAATGCATTCATCGGCAATTAGCAGAATGCCTGGTTGACAGTGGCTTAAACAAGCATGTGTTTATTTTTCTCACACAATAATGCTTTAGAGGCGAGCAGTCACCAGGATTAAATCAAGGGTCAGTGAACTGTGATTCCTTGGCCTTTCTCCACAGATGGAGTGCTGCAGCTCTCGCTTGCATCACGGGAAGAAGGGTGTATCCATCTCCTTCTGTCATGAAAAGCAGACGCCTTCCCAGAAGCCCTCCTAACTTCCGTTTAGTCTCTTTGGCCAGAAGCGTGTCTCACGGTCCCCTCTGGCTGGAAGGGAGGTTGTGAAAGCTAGTCCCTTTTGTCCTTTGTTCCCCAAACAGATCTGAGATTCATGAGCAAGAAAGGCCTGAAAGTTGCCTTGGGGACTGAGAGCTGGGGTATGAGGGAAGGTAATGTTTTTCGAAAGAAAGTTAGGGATCGATTACAACAAAAGGGAGTGTTGCAGAAACCAGAACTCGAGCAACCAAGCGCCACACTCGGAGAGCTGGAGAACTCAGGTTTCCTCCGCCGGCAGGCCCAGAGGAGTTAGCACTCAAGCGCTGAGCCCCAAGAGAAGAGGTTACAGAGTTCTTATAGAACTACTATTGTGGGCAACACTAGCTGCTAACAGGCTGGTTTAAACTAAGGGATTTCATGCTCTTGGGAACAGCAGTCAAGATGGGCAGAGGGATGCCTGACCTTCACATGGCCAGGCAAGATTAACCAGGTTTGCAGGGGCCGGGCGACTGCAAAGAGCAGGACACAGTGAGTGAGATAAGCTCCATTTCCTAGTATTGCAAGTCCCCGCTTTCTGAGACTACATGACCTATGTGATCCAGACTTGGCGAGGAGTAAGCTGAGTTACAGAGGCAGAAAGAGCAGGAGGTTATGTAAAATTTCAACTTTTCCTCTTCAGGAGGAAGGGGTGCCAGGTAGAGGAAAACAAACCCAATCTGTTTCTTACAATTGCTTATTGCAATTATCCCAACTGCTATTACAATCCCTCACCCACTATTTCTGGCTCTAAAAGTCTTTGGTCCTAAGGGCATACATGTTTTTTTTTAAATTATCTCTGAGTATAAATGTGCTGTGCTTATTCATTCAGCCGTGTCCTACTCTTTGTAACCCCATGGTCTGTAGCCCATCAGGCTCCTCTGTCCATGGGGATTCTCCAGGCCAGAATACTGGAGTGGGTTGCCAGTTCCTCCTCCAGGGGATCCTCTGAACCCACAGATCGAACCCAGGTCTCCTGCTTTGCAGGCAGATTCTTTACCAGGTGAGCTACCAGGGAGCATAACTAAAATGATAATAATAAGAAGAACATCTCAAAGGAGTTTTAGATGTAAGATCAATGGCAACTTATTTTTAAAATAACACCTTCTTGCGATAACAGATAATGATAACTTGTGGCTTTATCAGCACTTTTGGGAAGGATGAGAAACGAGACTTGAAGCGCGCTGACGTGTATCCTGCCATCCCCCTGTGGCAAGGAGCCGGGGCTGCCAACCGCCGACACGGTCTGAACATCCCCTCCGGCAGCTTTGGAGTCCGAAGGGGCTGGCTCTGTAAGCGACATGCCTACGAAGGCTCAGTGGCCCAGAGCCTCTGACGCCCCTCTCCCCCACCCCCATCCTGCAGTTAATATCCCGAGGTCCAGGGCTAAGAAGGCTTACGAGAGATTTTCAGATGAGTTTCATTATTTGCAGGCCGGATTAGTTGGCTAACCCCACGTGAGCGTCAAGGTCCTCTCAGAGTCCCCGGCCAGGGGCTCCCGCGTGGTGGTCCCGGGGGCGTCTTTGGGGGGGTGCAGTCCAGTGGAGCGGCCAGCCGCATAAAGTGGGTTGCAGTTCTAGGGCAGAGGAGCACTGGAAAGGGCCAGAGAGGAGACGCTGCATCTGAGGGGTCCCCAGGGGATGAAGTTAATAGAACAGACATCTTCTTGGAAACCAAGTTTATTTCAGAAGCAAAGGCTAAAATAGACTGGGCTCTTTTTCCTCCCTACCCCACCCCCACCTAACCTGAACTAAAAATAGAAGTGATTAGGGACAGGTCTGCTCTACACAACAGAGCAAGCCTGCCTCACAACAGCGGCCAAGTCCTGTGCAAGAACACGTGGCCGCCTCTTCTTCCAGTGGGCTCAGCGAAAAAAAGAAGGCATCCAGCTGAAGACAGCAACCCTTGGCACTGTCTAGGTCCCATGGCCCTTTAAATTTATCACCCCACGGCAAGGGAGGAGAAATCCTTTTTAGGATTCATACTCAGGATTTTAATCTGTTTTCTATTTTTAATCTTTAGAAGGAAAAAGACAAGAAAGACCCCGTAAACTAAAAGAAGCATTATCTTTGCTGAAGTAATATCAGCTCTGAGAGAGACAGAGTCAGTACAATTTAGCTTTCTAGGTTGTGGTGCTGTGTGTGTGTTTTTTTTTTAATTCGTTGCAAATCAGAGCAGGTGAAGACAAGAAGAGTTAGGAAGCTGGGGAAATGGGTCCAGGAAAGAGGGTCAGATGTATCAAGGGAGTCCCCCCAAACCCCACGTCAGTCCTGCCCCCAGCTCCTCCTGCCTGGACTGTACCTCCCCTTGGCGACCCCCCTCTGTGACCTGTCCTCGACATTTCTGCTGGCATTTTCCCTGCCCTTGGTCTTCATGACGCCGCTCCTCTGCTTAGAAGCCTCACTGAACGCCACACTGTCTGCAGAAGAAAACGCAGACTGTCAAGCAACACTGCAGGGGCCCTGCTGCTCTGCCCGGCTCCAGCCCGCCTTTCCTGCTCTTTCTTTCTTTAAACTGGAGCATAATTGCTTTAGAAGGGTCACGCTCTTTCCTGCAGTACAGTGGGCATCGGCCGTCACCTCTGACGTTTGCACCCAGTTGCCGTAGCCGAGCACAGTACGTGTTATCTGTTCGGTTGTATTTGTCAAGCGAACGCTAACTAGCCTGACCATCACCTGCCTCTGCCCCGACATTCGTTTCCATCTCCCCGGGTTTTATACATCCAAGCAGATTCTTTTGTTAGGATCCGCCCTCCTCGCTCCCTTCGCTTGGGAAACGGATGCTTATTCCTGAGCCTCCAACTCAAATGTCACCTCTTTTCCATCACTTCTCTTGACACCTCTTCTACCACCCACACGCCGCGGCAGAAGGATTTTGGAGTTACCAGCCTCTTTCATGCCTTCCTCTGCTATAGCAGTTCCTGCACTGTGTATTCCAACAGTCTGATTTGCCATAAAAAGATAATTGGGTTCCTGAGAAAATTTATTTTATCAAAACTGAATTTTAAAACCCATTGATGGGATAACAGATAAAAGGAAATAAGGTTAGGATATTCAAGGCTCACTATATCAAAGTTAGTTCTCCTGCAGGATTTTCAGTCATGAGGGTTCAGTTCAGTTCAGTCGCGCAGTCGTGTCTGACTCTTTTTGACCCCATGGATGGCAGCACGCCATGGATGGACAGGTCTCCCTGTCCATTATCAAATCCCGGAGTTTACTGAAACTCATGTCCTTTGAGCCGGTGATGCCATCCAACCATCTCATCCTCTATCGTCCCCTTCTCCTCCCACCTTCAATCTTTCCTAAGATCAGGTTCTTTTCCAATGAGTTGGTCAGTTCTTCGCATCAGGTGGCCGAAGTATTGGGGTTTCAGCTTCAGCATCAGTCCTTCCAATGAACATTCAGGACTGATTTCCTTTAGGTGCTTTATAGCTATTGGGCTTTTCTGGTGGCTCAGCTGGTAAAGAATCCGCCTGCAATGCAGGAGACCTGGGTTCAGTCCCTGGGTTGGGAAGATCCCCTGGAGAAGGAAATACCTACCCACTGCAATATTCTTGTCTGGAGAATCCCCATGGACAGAGGAGCCTGGCAGGACTATAGTCCATGGGATTGCAAAGAGTCAGACATGACTGAACAACTCAGCACTGTATCAGGGGCTTCCCATGTGTGTATATAAATATATATATATCTGGCATTTCTGTGTGTGTGTATATATATAGATCTATGGCTATCAGGGGCTTCCCAGGTGGCGCTAGTGGTAAAGAACCCACTGCCAATGCAGGAAGTGTCAGAGATAAGTATTTGACCCCTGGGTTGGGAAGATCCCCTGGAATAGGGCACGGCAACCCATACCAGTATTCTCGCCTGGAGAATCCCATGGCAGGCTACAATCCACAGGCTTTCAGAGCGCTGGACATGACTGAAGCATGTTGGACACAACTTAGTACAGCACAACACACATAGCTCTCAGACTATTTAATGGCAAGCTAAAATATCGAAAAGCTTGCTCAAGAAAGACAAGAATGAGTCCAAACATCTCATTTGCCTTATAAGCCACACACCCATGAGTCTCCCCAACTTCAGTCATTTTGGCCTTGATCTTGCAACCTTGCTGGCATCAAAATCCTAACACAAAAGAACCCAGGCATGAACAGGTGTACAAAGGAAGAGGCACTCACTTGGCTGGGTGTCCCAGCACTTAGTTCCTGGCTCCTGGCACCCTGCTCATCCGGGACTAACGCCCATCGACGAGCCTGTTGGCAATCAGGGTAATGCAAACTGTGCGGCTTCATTCACTGACCTTCCGGTCAATATCCAATTCAATTATGAAAACTCTCTCTGTAGGGAAAGATCTCTGTTTTCTAATCTATTACCTTCCTTCTAAGTGGGAGGACACCAAATCAGAGATGGTGTCCAACTCAACTTTGTCACCCCATTATTGCTGAATTGATAACAATATCCTGCAATATCCAGATAATTTGCTTTATTCTTGACTTTAGCTAGAATTTGCTTAGTGCCTAGACTTTTTTTAGCATGAGTTAGATGCATTTCCATCCCTGTATCCCAGAATCCAAACTCCTGTATTCTGATTACCAGATTTTGCCATGAGTAAAGAGTGAGTTTAATAAACAACTTCCTTGGACTGCAAGGAGATCAAACCAGTCCATCCTAAAGGAAATCATTGAAAGGATATTCATTGAAAGGACTGATGCTAAAGCAAAGCTCCGATATTTTGGCCACCTGACGCAAAGAGCCGACTCATTGGAAAAGACCCTGATGCTGGGAAAGATTGAAGGCAAGAGGAAAAGGGGATGACAGAGGATGAGATGGTTGGATGGCATCACCGACTCAATGGACATGAGGTTGAGCAAGTTCCAGGAGTTGGTGATAGACAGGGAAGCCTGGCATGCTGCCGTCCATGGGGTCACAAAGAGTTGGACATGACTTAGCAACTAAACAACAACAATCCTTCTATAATACAATGTTAATAATTGTTGAGACTATAGTAAACTCTTTACATGAATTAGCTCATCTGTGCTTCCCAGCAGCCCTGTAACATAGGTAATATTACTGACCCATTTTACAGAAGGGTAAACTGAAGCTTAGAGAGGTCAGTTATTTGTCCTATGCAAAAATAAGTGGAAAATAATGACATAAAATAGCCATTCTAAAATAAGTATTCTGACTTTGAGTAGATCCCCTCAACCTTTAGTTTCTTCATAGCTTTCCACCCCAGATAGAAAATCAACTCAAGGACTTCTCTGGCAGTCCAGTGGTTAAGACGCTGCACTCCCAGTGCAGGGGATTTGGGTTTGATCCCTGGTCAGGGAAACTGAGATCCCCTGTGCCATGCCCTGTGGCCAAAAATAAGAAGAAAAAGGTCAACTCGTTGTTTGCATATTCATATATCTTGCAATTAGTTTATCTTGCAGAATTTAACTGCCTAATATTATGTATTTAATGAGTGCTTTGTTTGTATGGCATGGTAAGTCTCTTCAGTCATGTCCCACTCTCTGTGACCCCATGGGCTGTAGCCCGCCAGGCTCCTCTGTCCGTGGGATTCTCCAGGCAAGAATCCTGGAGTGGGCTGCCACGCCCTCCTCCAGGAGATCTTCCCGACTCAGGGATTGAACTCGCCTCTCCTGGGGCTCCTGCTCTTCAGGCAGATTCTTTACCACTGAGCCACAGGGGGAGCCTTCTTATGGCTGAAGTGAAGTGAAAGTGCAAGTCGCTCAGTCGTGTCCGACTCTTTGCGACCCCATGGACTATACAGCCCATGGAACTCTCCAGGCCAGAATACTGGAGTGGGTAGCCTATCCCTTCTCCAGGGGATCTTCGTGACCTAGGAATCGAAACAGGGTCTCCTGCATTGCAGGCAGATTCTTTACCAGCTGAACTATCAGGGAAGCCCTTTTTATGGGCTTTGTAAGAAAAGGGCTTTGTAAGCCCTTTTAAGAATTTGAACATTCTTAAGCTAAAATGACCATAGCTGTTTTCTGTAGCAGAAAACAGAGACCTTCAGTTATTCATTTTCCCAGGGTCGGGAGGGACCAAAGGTGTTTTCAAAGGAAAGTCTCGTCCATATCCAGGGCACCCACTTACACTGGGATGTGAGGAGGTGGAAGGGCTCCACATTTACCAAAGGCACCACATCTGCCCCATGAGGTTGAATAGGGCTCACCGTTTAATTCATCCCATAGTGTAATCCGCCACGGTTCATCAGACACACCCTTGAACTCCCTGTTGCCTGATTCATATCAAAAGCCTAGTCTGTGTAAATAATACTGATGAAAGATATCTTAAAGAAGTACTCTGCAATTAGTCTTTCAGATTGCAGTTAAGGTACCTTAAATCAATTTGGAATGAGGAATTACATGGAATTAATTAATTACGGTGATTCCCAGCAAGGCATTTAACCTCTTTGTACCTAGGTTTCCCCGCTGGTACCATGAAGTGGTTGATCTGGGCGACCTCAAAGTGTTTTCCAAGGCTAACATTTCAAGTATTCTCCCCCCTACCCATACCTCTGCTAATGAAAATCTCATCACAAATTATCCAAAACAGTGGAAGATCCAAG